GGGAAGAAACCCCAACACCGCAGCTAGCTTCCCGGTCGCCCCCGGCCGGGGAAGCGTCACGTGAACTGGGTGCGGAAGTCTGCCGGAGAAGCGGAGCGCGCACCGGCCAGGTCCCAGCCCAGCTCCCCTTCAGCCCTAGGCCAGTGCTGCCCTAATCTTGACACCCACACCCACCCCGCCCCCTTCCAGGTCCGGCTTTCCAGCCGCAGCCCCCCACGTCCCACCCCCACCCCTTGGGGACCTCAACCGGATAGGCAGCCTTTGTACCTGCCACCTCTGTCCAGGGACTCCCTCACCTCTCAGCCTCGGCTTCTATTGCGATGGGGAACTGGGGGCGCGTCGTCCCTCCCGGAGTCTCGGAGAACACACCAGGAAGCAGGAGGCGGGGGAAGGAAGTGACAGGCGAAGAGAATGGCTCGGGTGGGGGTGTGCGGGAGGCGTGTAAAGTAAGAGTTTAAACGATCTGGAGAGGGGCCGCCCACACGGCCAGGGACAAGCCTATGAGGAAGAAACTTAGGGGAGGAGACGCCCCAGGAGTGGCCAGGCCCCAGGTAGGTGGCCGGCGCCTGAGGCTTCTAGGGGAAATGGACCCAGAGCTTCAGCCACCTAGCCTAGAGCCAAAGATCCTGTACCCCAACCCCGCCACCGGCACCGGTCCTGGGCGTCCGTGGCCTGCGGAGACCCCTTTCCAAGGAGAAAGAACCGAAAGAGCCACCAAGTGCGGAATGCTGAGGGCGCCCAGGAAGATCCTGACATTGGTTCCGTGGGTGGCAGGCGCAGGGCCCTGAAGCTGTTGGCTTGGTTTGACCCCTGCTGAGAATTTGCGTGTATCCCAGAGAACGAACCAGAATCTGTACTTTGACAGATCTCCTTTAGAAGAATCGCCTAGAGACCTGGAATGGCAATTCCCTTGCAAATCCTGGTTAAGAGCAGATGGGCCCCCTGAAGCGTCAGACTAATGCTGTCCACAGCATCTGAATTGCCAACCAGAACTCATTCTAGAAAACCATTTTATTCTACTGTGAAGAAAAAGCACTGGGGCAGTACTGATTTCTTCCTTTCCTCATCCTCGATTCCCTACACCACATCAATTTCCCTTGAAACCTTATTTTATTAACCGTGGTTGTCTTTTTCCCTAACCAATGGCCTCACATTATTTACTCATTGCTAACCTTTCAATTCGGAAGCATAAAAATCAAGGAAGAAGCCAGATGTTTGCCAATACAAGTTCAATGGATCAGATGTGGCCAAGTCTTAAACTCAGCATGATAGAATGCTGGCGAACCTAGGAGCCGTCACACAAGGGACTCCTTACAGACCCAGCATGGTTCTTCCCCAATGTCTCCTCTTGCAGTTGTACTTGATCTTCTTACTAGTTTTCATTAGAAGCCACTGGGGAATGGGGTGATCTGCTTTTGTTTCTTGGCCAGGAATCTCTTCATCCTGAAAGTCTCCTGAGAAGGTATAGTGAAGATGGCAGGCAGCCAGCCACAGGGAAATGGAAAGCTATTTTATTTCATTATTGCTTTAATTTCTCCTTCATATGTATATGGAAATATATCACTCATTACATAGATATCTATATAGATCGATATCTATATAAATATCTATCTCTACCTATTTATCTAGCCATCTATCTCTCTACCTGTATATCACTCACTACCAATGAGTCCAAGCTGACTCATAGTGACCCCCTGTGGGTTTAGAGTAGAAAACCCATACACATATATCCTTCTGTGTGTGTGAGTGTGTGTTTGTGTATGTGTGTGTGTACATGTGCACTTGCCAGACCTCCTTGGGAAAATAAACCTAAGTGATCCCAAAAATCCCTAGCGCTAGCCAAGGGAAAACAACAACATTCTAATAGACTCTGGCT